GGGGGGGGGTTAAGACCAAAAATCTATTCTGTCATCATCTTTCTGTTATGTGAGAGATTAGGAACTCGGGAGAATCATCTCAGGAGCTTCACAAAACTAAAGCCTTTGTGCCAGAGTAGGGAAGAGGGCCATAATGTTGTTTTTAAAAAGCTCCACAAAGGTGAGTTTGACAAATTTAGCTACACCTGAGTCCCTTCATTCCCTTTTGAGAAGCACTGTTTGAAGAATACAGTGAGGGGAGCAGGAGACTGAGGAATCATAGCCATGATGACTGTGTCAGGGGCTTGGTTAATTTCACTCCTGGCAAGTGCTCAAACACTATCCCCATTCAACACTCTGCTCTAAGCACTTCTCTAATAGAAACTCAGTGAGTCTAGGAAAACTATTCCTTTCTGGGTTCCAATCACAACTTAACAACCTCATCAAGATGGAGTCACTAGAGAGAACTGCTGGTTGATATATCTGTATCCAGGAAAAGGAAAAGCTAAGAGTTGAACAGAAAATGTATAATTAAATATATATTAACCTCCTAAACCCTTGAAAATACCCATTAGCTTGCTTCAAACTGAGAAAAAGTCCATCATAAATTTTTAAACTATTTTTTCCTGAATGTTTTTTTGAAAAAAGGTAAAGAAAAGTTCTTTATTATTATTCTTTAAAACAAAAGAACCTTTTCTTTTGTTTTAATTATCACTATTTTTGGATTATGATTTTCATTACAAATAATGTTTTAGCTATTTTGTATACTGAATAGTTTGTATGGATTGGCCTAAATACAAAGATATTTTTCTCCACAGAAAAATGTTCTGAGTTCAAAATATGTAATTTACAGGGTTAGGGATGTAGCTCATTGGTAGAATAGTTGCCTAGCATAAAAGAGGCTCTGGGTTCAATCCCTAACAACATTCACATACACACTAAAATAAACAAAATAAAATTTACAAACAAGATTTTGAGTTCTTTCATAATTAGCACTTGTATCACTTGTATAAACTGTACCAACCATTTCTTCAGATGTAGTAGTAGCTGAGGATGCTGCACCATGAACGGAGACTGGAACTGGAACTGGAACTGGAAAGTGAACGTGAACAGAAGAAGCAGATGCAGCCCCAGCAGAAGTCATGGAAGCAGCAGAAGGAATTGCAGTGGCGCTGGCTGTTGCAACTGGCACTGTAGGTGAGGGCTGCAGCAAATGCAGTGGAACTGCTGAGGACACTGGAGGTACTGAAGGATCCAAATGAGTAGGATATTCTTTTCCTTGAACACCAGGGTTGTATTCTTCTTTTTTATTATTTGTGAAATCTATCCCTATAAATTACAAATTTATCTCATTAAAATTCTTTTAAGTTAAGATTATTTTTCTCCCCTAAACAATGAAAATATATAATGGTTAAAATTGGTTCTAATGAAAATGCAGACATTTGTCATTTACTGGAGTCAACTGTTCAGTTAACACAGTCTGTCAGTACTAACTGGTAATGTCAGCATTAACCACTAAACATGAGACTACTTCCTTCAACATATGAAAGCTAATGATTTGCTTTAGGTAAAAGATAAAAATAAATCATGTGCTCAGTTGTCTTACCATCATAACTACCACAGTAATATATATGGTCATACAGAGCCCAAGGCTTTATGTTCTTTGCATTTCATATAACTATCCTGATAAATGGCCACATATTTAGATTTTTAGAACTATTTTCTGATATCACCCTATTTCCTTATTTCCATTTATTGCTCCTATTCTATTAACAAAAACAACATATCTTTATTCCTGACTTTAGCAAACTATAATAAAACCATAAGTAAAACTAAAACCTTCATTTTGAAACCTCCAGATAACTTCAGATAAATAAGAATTAAAAGAAAGAATTTTGAAAGAAATAGGTTCTTTAAAACAATTTTTTATTTTTTTTTGATCTGGAGTGTCACTTCATTGCCCAGGCTGGTCCTGCTCTCTTAGGCTCAAGTGATCCTCCTGCCTCAGCCTCTCAAGTAGCTGGGACCACAGGCATACAACACCATGCCTGGCAAGAAATGGGTTCTTGGGCTGGGGGTAAGGGGTCAAAAAAGAAATGGGTTCTTGCAGGTGGGCTATATAAGTAACAATTCTGCATATCATGAAAGAACAAATCTGCAAACTTTACTGTAGGAATACTACTCCATAGACTAAATTTTCCCATAGCTGAATCTTAACCATAATCTAAGAAGTAAATGATTTCAGTTTCCAAAAACTAGGACAAACCTAAAATTCTTCATATTTTACATCCCCTGCCCCCTTAGTATTAGAAAGTGGTTAGTTTCCACTTAAAAGATTACATCTCTGTAATTAGCTCAATGGTTTGGAAATTCAATGAGATAATTCATGAGACAGGACATAGGATATTATGTATACCCTATGTTTAAATGATCTTCTGTTATCTTCTTTCCATTTAGAAATTTGGGTTTCTGCATAAATCTTTTTCTTAAAACTAGCTGTGTATAAGTGAATGACAGTGGCCAAAAACATGATGCACACCTGTAATCCCAACGACTTGCAAGGCTAAGGTAGGAGGATCACAAATTCAAGGCCTGCCTCAATAATTTAGGGAGAACTGTCTCAAAATAAAAAATAAAAAGGGCTAGGGATGTAGTTCAGTGGTAAAGTACCCCTAGGTTCAATCCCTAGTACAAAAAAAAAAAAAAAGTTACTTTGTTAACAAAACTTAACATTGATTATAGTGCCTAGATCCTTTGAAATCTTCTGATGAAAGGGATTAATTCAATATAAAAGATCACTGCTTTAAAACCACACACACATGCTGAGTGCATTGGCACACACCTGTAATCTCAGTGGCTCAGGAGGCTAAAAGGAGGATCAAGAGTTCAAAGCAGCTAAGCAACTCGGTGAGACCCTGTCTCTAAATAAAATACAGAATAGGGCTGGGGATGTGGCACAGTGGTCAAGTGCCCCTGGGTTCAATTCCTAGTACCAATCCACCCCTCTCTGCTCACACAAAGTTTTAACATGTTTTTGACAGAAAGTGATGCTGTGTATCTCTTTTTAGGTGTTTCATAGCCAGGAGTAGGTAAGAAATATTTACTTAACAAAATTATCCAAGGAATTTGAATACTTAGAAAAAAACAAAAATAGAAATTTCCCACTTGGCAGCATTAAAAGAACTTCAATACATATTAAAAGTATTAACATTTAGCTTAAACACATAGCTTAAATATCATAAGTAACTGTCTAGTTTTCATGATGGACTTAAAGCTGGATATGACACCATGAAACTAAAACTAATCAGTACCTAGATGACACATCCATTGCAGAATATTAGCATGACAAACCACCCTAATCACTGGAGCAGCCTCAAATTATTTTTTGAAAATAGGCAGAAAATCTTCAATGAGAGACCAACCTGAATCATTTCTGTTTTGAAACATAGTCATGGCTTCGAGATTTAATGCACACACCCCCCTCATGAAAGCTTTCTTCATGGAATCTTCAAAGTGTTCTTTTTCTTGTTGCAGTCTTTGAATCTCAGTTTTTGCATTTTCCAAAGCTCCAGATAACTAACATAAGAATTGAAAGAAAAACATTTGAGACACAGGATGAATATTACTGTGTTAACTTTGATCTAAATTACTTGCAATATTTTGTGTAAATTTTTTAATTTATATATGACAGCAGAATGCATTATAATTCTTATTACATATATAGAGTATGAGATTACTCTTCTATGAAATACTAAAAACAGCTTGCCACATACTTGTTCTGTGATTCAACTTATTTGCAAAGATGCATCCACTGACAAATCATTTTTGTTCCTAACCATCAAGTCAGGTTCAAATAAGCAGGGTTTTTTATCAGCCCCATGAAGTTTGCTGGTGTTTTCATTATGCAAATGTTATTCCTTACCATAAAAAAGATTTTATGCAGGATATTAAACAAAATACACTTACATGAGCCATGGATGGTTCTTAATCCCTTTGGGGAAAAACTGCTAAATTGATGCAATTTAACAGAAATTTAAAAAAGTAAATATCATCGATAGAATTTATTTTAAAAATTTCTTTTGAAAAGCATGAAAGGAACATTTTCATTGTAGCTACACTAGGAAGACAAGGGGACACATGTCCTTAGCCCTGGCTTTGAGAAGCTAACAATGACCTTGAGGTTTTATAGAAAGAGAGCAAGGGTTGGAAAGTTTGCACACTGGAGGCTTTTCACAGCTGCCAAAGCAGGTGATCTTGATCAGGTGTGGTCTGTCTGTTCTCACCTCAGGATTGGTCAGGCAAGGTCTTGTCCCCAGTAAGAAAATTGCAGTTGCCTGGGGCTGTGTGTGTGTGGGGTAGTCACTCATTACAAGATGTTTATCAGATTAGACTTTTTTCCTGGGATCCAAGGTGACTCAGACCAAAGGAGACAGATGCAAAATGGAAGCACAGATACCAAGTCTTTAATCCTGTTTTTAAATACCCATTGAACATTTATGGGAAAAAACAAAGTCTTAAGTCTTTGTTACAGTTCCTTCCTGTCTTTAGTCTATTCTTCAATCTTGAGGGATCTAGGGTGTCTGCCAATCTGACTTTGCAGGTTTCTTGGTTTTCTGATAACCAGTCTTAAATAATGACTAAAGCATATAAGCAAAGAGTCAGATGCTTAAGCCGAAAAGTATAAATACTATTATAAATTATAAAGCAGAATACAAAAAAGAGTCAAAGTCTGAAGATACTCAATTAAACAACTGTGTAAGGATTCTCCTTCCTTTTAAATAGTTTTGTGAGAATGGACTACTAAAAAATATTATAATTAAGATCAGGAAAAAAAATAGGAATTGAGGGTCCTTGTTTGAGCTATGAGTTCTACCTTCTGTATACAGATGCTAGGTGCAAGGATTTTAGTGTCAGGTAATTATGTTTAAGAACCCCTTCTGCATATCTTCTAGGCTTTACTAACTGTTGGTGTGGCTGACACAAGTGCACATCTCAAGTTATATTTTATTTATTTTTTAATTTATATTTTTATGGTGTTGGGGATTGAACCCAGGGCCTTGTACATGCGAGACAAGTATTCTACCAACTGAGCTATATCCCTAGCCCTTAAGTTACATTTTAAAGGGCCACTGTTTTGCCCTTTTAATTGTCCACACTTGAATGTCCTTTGACTTTTCTCCCATCCTCATATTTGTACACTTATCTTTGGTTATATTTCCAGACCAAGTAGGTGATTCCTGTGTTCACCAAAAATTATTTATTTCCTGTTGTTAAGATCAGCCAAAACTCTTCAGGAGTTAATTTTAGGAACTTTAGAGGCACCTGAGGCCTCTTCAGTCTTTTCCTCTATCAGTTGTGCCAGGATGGGTGAGTCTTGCTGACCACAAGTGGCTTGCCTTGGAAGCATTAAGGGGACATTTTCCTCTCCAATGACCCTTCTCTTTGCAGAATGTACACTGGTTGTCTTCCTGTTTTCTAGAGTCCTTGTGATCCTCCTGATCAGGAGGCTGGGTGAATTGCAGGGCCCTTAGGTGGGTCCCATTGTTCCTGGATGACCTTGGAGGGCAGGGACCAAAATACTGGCTATTTTTCTTAAACATTTTATTCTCCTTGATTTTAGTGTCCAAGTCTTGGTTTTTGAATACCCAGAAAGCCAGTTCCACGGTTTTTTTTTTTGTTTGTTTGTTTTTTTAACTTTCTGATATGGGCAATTGAACCCAGGAATGCTTCAATACTGAGCTACATTCCCATTTTTAAAAATTATTTTATTTTGAGATAGGATTTCACTAAGTTGCTGAGGCTGACCATGAACTTGCAATACTCCTGCCTCATCCTCACATGTCAGTGGAATTAAAGGCGTGTTGCTCTATGTCTGGCAATTATCTACAAGTTAAAGTGCCAAGTGAACAACACATTTTCCTATAGACCAAACCTAAACTGCATTTTTTGAATGTTATTTTTGAATTGGGGAAAATTATTTGTATTTTGAAAATTTATTTTATATAATACTAAGAATTTAATGCCATAATGTTAATTTTTTTCTCTTAGGCATTTGTTTTCAAGAAACCTCTGTATTCTTCAGAAAGGTTTTTATTTCATTTTGGGTCCCAAATATTTTCCCATGGAAACACTGCTAATTTATTATTAAAAGTCAAAGAAAATAATTTCTGATTTATTTACATCTGCTTATAAGAACATAATTTAAATTAATATAGAATAGACATTTTAAATTTTTATTCCTGACTACATATAGATTAGAAAAGAAGCCTAACTCTAAATTAATAGTGAATCTATTCATTTACTACATTAAAAGAAAGTAAATTAAAAGAGTTTACCATAGAAACTTTAGCTTCATAATCATTAGAAATCTGAACACAAACTTCTTCAGCTCTTGCTTGACAAGCTCGTTCTACCACCTCTTTCCATTGTCTTTGTATTATGGAACGCCAGCCCTTCCAGGTTTTCTTCAGTAAAGTTCTCTGGAAGTATTGGTCAGCTAGTTTGCATTCATAAACCTGAAAGAAAGTAATGCACAACCTCAAAAAAACACAGGGGATGGTAACTATATTGTAGTAATAACAATAAACGTAACATAGTGGTAATGTGTTAAGGATATTACATTAATAGTGTACATACGTTATCATTTAATTTTGTATAATCATATTATTCTTGATGCATTTAGGAGAATAGGCTTAAACAGGTTAAGTAACCTCTCTAGTCAGATTTGAGTGAGCTTCTATCCATTATATCCTGGCTTGATACTGCTTATAAAGCTAGTGAAAAAAATTTAAAAACAAAACAAATGAAATAAAGAAACTTGCCATCTTAGCTACAAATCTGCATTAGCCTTTTAATTGAAAGCAAGGCCAGGTAAGTAACAAAGAGTGGCTGTAAGGCAAAAAGGGTGGTGGCTGTAGCTTCAGATGATACTAACACTGCTTTCCTCCCCTTGGGCTTGGTGGCCACCATCAGAAACAAAATTAATTTAACTTAGACATCTTGCCATTATATATAGTGCCAAACAGATCCAAATAGGAACATAATCTTTATCAATGGATTCTTTTTTTTTTTAAGGATGGAACAATCCTTTATTTTATACACCTTGAAGTTTTCAATCATCTTTCAGTGACAAAGAGAGAACATGAAAATCAGCCTTCAGCCATCTGGAGCTGCTCTGTTCAGGGCCTAGGATCTCCCTTGTCCCAGTGGTAAGGTACAGGGGTGTACTTCCCTTCCTTTTTGAGCTTGTCTAGCTGCTTGATGGCTCTCACATGTCACATTAGTTTTTTGCTGAAGCAAAATTCTATGAAATTATCATATTCTATCTTATACTCTTTTTGTGACCAGATATTACCAATTTCATGTGCGCATTCTACGTGTTCTTTTTTGAAATCATGGAATTAAGAAGGAATCTTTTTATTTATTTTTTTAATGTAGGATTTTTTTACTTTACCTTTATTTTGTTTATTTTTATGTGGTGCCAGGATCAAACCCAGTGCCTCACACATGCTAGGCAAGTACTCTACCACTAAGCCACAACCACGGCCCCCAAGAAGGAATCTTGTAGGGCTGTTCAGTACTTTGGATTGTCAAATGGCAATCTATGTTAATGCCCATCCTTTTCTCATGTCAAAGAAAAGGCATAGTGTCATTGTCTCCTTTCTGGTTTCAACTTTAGGACAATCAATGAATTCTTTTGAAGAAGTAATTCTAATGTACAACTTTCTTAAATTTGAAAAACTATCTAAAGAATGATGGCACCTTAACTATTCCAGCCAACATTTAAGTATTAATTCTTATTATGTGTCTCTTGACAAATAATTTTCAAAATACGGTATAGTCATTTTAAATAGCTTATTTCAATATGATTAACGTGGATTTAATTCATTTGGATTTATAAAACAATGAAAACACTAGAGTATTCTTATAGGAGAAATTCTATTCAACAACAATAGCTTTTTCCTTAAATACTAATCTCTTGGAAACTAAATGCACAGAGACTACTTCAAAGATCACAAGAAAAAGAATATGTATGTATATATGTGTATACACACACACACATTTCCATCTCCTATACTCACGGGTTTTCATACTGTTTTCTTGTCTGATACACACACACATTCTCTGTCTCTCTCATACTTTTCTACTCACTTTTGATACAATAATTTACTATTCTCTCAGTTCACTATTTTGATATCTAATTTAGTTCTTATTTAATTAAAATAAAAAATGTTCAGGTTTAAATTATATAGAAACTAAAAAAAGATAAACAGCATGGCTTTGATTCTTATACTAAGGCAAGTCTACACAATAAACCTTGGTACTATTTTTTAATCCACAACTATATTACAAATGTAGTAATGGTTTTTTATGAAGAGGCTGTATTCAGGGGCTGGGGTTGTGGTTCAGCAGTAGAGCGCCTGCCTAGCACATGCAAGGCTCTAGGTTTGATTCTCAGCATCATAAAAATAAATAAAAATAAAGGTATTGTGTCCAAAACTACAATTAAAAAATAAGCATTAAAAAAAAGGGCTGTATTCAGGTATTTTACTTTATTTGAGATGGGGTCTTGCTGTGTTGTCCAGGCTGGCCTGATCTCAAATCAATCCTCCAGCCTTATCCTACTGAGTAGCTGGGACCACAGGCATGGGCACTGAACCCAGACAGGTATTTTAGAAGTAGAAACAACATAGGAATATTTTATGATTGCAAATTCTTTTTCTATATAACCTCATCTGAGGTAAAATCTATCAGGGCATTTGTAATTTAGGTACAATCCTCATTAAACTGCTATGGAGCAGCACACGATGTACCTATCATAATATATATCTTATGTTAATAAATTCTAACTATTTTTACCAAACTACATCAAAATCAAATTCCTCTGAAATAAGAGCAATCATTTTTAAGTCATAAATTCATTTTTACTTACTAGAAAGTAAATTTTTGACCTAGAATTCTAATAAGGGGACTAAACCCTTTCAGAAGTCTAATATCAGTCAGTGGTCTTGTCTTTTTAATACTTACATCCTGTCTGGAGCTGACGTGGCCAATTCGCCAGTGGAAGAATGTTCTCATTAACTCTATTCTTTCCTTTTGCTTGCCTATGGCATGAGACAAGCTGGAAATCACCTGTAAATAGCAATTACTTAATTATTGTGATCTTACAATACAGAAAGAGAGAAATTGACTTATATATCAAAAATGCTAGAGAATAGCTATGGATCTCTGCCATATTTATTTAGTCTCATTATTATTAGAAAGACCCAAAAAATTCTCCACATTAATACTCTAAAGATTAATGAATGCAGAAGAATTGTCTGTATATCTTATTAACTTTCAATAAAAGTTTATGAATATTAAAATTAATAGTTATTAACATTTAATTCAGGAAAAACAAATGTACACTTGAAAGTTTTGCTACATATTCAAAAAAGTTTTTATTCTGTAGACCTGTGAGCAGGGCCAGGTTTTAAATATCTTTCTGGAACCTTGGATATAGAAATTTATCAATAATTTAAATAATTTTATGGTTTCAACAGTTTTCTAAAAGCAAATAATAGTCATTTTTATGTACTTCTTCAAGGATATTATCTTGTCCTTTAAAAAAATTTATGAAGGTTTTTAACAAATGACCCAATCAATAAATGGGCCAACAAACTGAACTGACACTTCTCAGAAGAGATATACAATCAATCAACAAATTTATGAAAAAATGTTCAACATCTCTAGCAATTAGAGAAATGCAAATCAAAACTACTCTAAGATTTCACCTCACTCCAGTCAGAATGGCAGCTACCAAGAATATGAACAACAATAAGTGTTGGCAAGGATGTGAGGAAAAAGGCACACTCACACATTGCTGGTGGCACTTTAAATTGGTGCAATCAATCTGGAGATTCCTTGGAAAACTTGACCCAGCTATCCCACTCCTTGGTTTACACCCAAAGGACTTAAAAACAGCATACTACAGGGACACAGCCATATCAATGTTTATAGCAGCATAATTCACAATAGCTAAATTGTGGAACCAACCCAGATGCCCTTCAGTAGATGAATAAATAAAGAAACTGGGGTATATATACACAATTGAATATTACACAGCATTAAAATCATGGCATTTGCAGGTAAATGGATGGAGTTGGAGAATATCATGCTAAGTAAGCCAATCCCAAAAAAACAAATGCTGAATGTTTTCTCTGATATGTGGATGCTGATCCATAATGGGGATGGGCCAGGGGAGCATGAGAGGAATGGAGGAACTTTAGATAGGGTAAAAGGGAGGGAGGGAAAGGAAAGGGACATGGGGGTAGGAAAGATGGAGATCATTGCCCTATGTACATATATGAAGACACAAATGGTGTGACTCTACTTTGTGTACAACCAGAGACATGAAAAATTGTGATTATGTGTATTGAATTGAAATGAATTCTGCTGTCATGTATAACAAATTAGAATACATATTTTTAAAAAGCACACACACACACACACACAACCTATGAAGGTTTTTAAATCCTAAGGTAATATTTTCTCTTATAAAGAACTTAGTAAATGAAATATGTATCTAAAAATTGCCACATTAAAAAGATACTTAGTAAACTGGGGACATGTATTCCTAAAAGAGGAAGAGGCACACAGTCTTAAGACATTCATTACATTCTATTTCAAGATGGATGGTGATGCATGGCTGCTTACTTTATTCATTTTCATTAACTAAACACATGATATGTAACTCTTTTTTTGTGGTACTTCAAAATTAAAAAAATTAAATTTAAAATATTTAAAAACCTTAGAACAGGGTTTTGAAGGTAATAAAGAAAAAGGCTCACATTAATATCCATTGTTTCAAAAAACATAAAAAATGTTCAAAATTTACATTATACCCTCTAAAGAAATGCATATTTAACAAAACATAAACTTTATCTAGCTCACTGAAACATCTGAATGCTGCTTGTGCAGACAAGCAGTGAGTTGTCTGCCCTGAGTCCTTCTCTAAAAGCCACCATCTTACCCAAAAATGATACAGGGTCTTCGGAGGCATATACACTTTGTTCAAGGTGCTGTCTGGATGCAAAAAACTACCACAGACCTGAACATGACCCTCAAGTTCTTAGGAAGCTAAAAGAAAATGAAACAAACAGTATTTTTTTGTCAAGAATTATCTTTATCAAGGAAGAAAGACATGTCACAAACAAAATTTGGGATAAATAAAATGCCCTCTTTAAAAAATGATATAAAAAGTGGGTAATACTGATTCCTTAATATTCTCTTAAGGGCTTTTAAGAAAAAAAATTAGAAAAAAATCCCACAAAAATTAACGAATGTACCTACATTTAGCAGACACTTAAAACATCAAGAACACCAAAGTCAAAGGCAAAGGTCAAATGATATTACATTGGTATATTTAATAGGAAGACTAAATCCTATGGTTATGTACTTATTTTTCTATTAGTTTCTGAAATGATTTTCTCTTTGTGGTCTTTTATGAGCTAAATAATCATGACTTCCTGGAATTTATTACCTAATAAGGCATTTACTGAATCTCAATTACAAAGAGATAGAAAAAAATTAGACCTCATCTTTTCTCCCAATGGAAATTTCAAAGGTTTTTTGCAGCTCTTTCAAGTCATTGATCTGGTTGGTTAGTTGTTTTACATGTGCTGCATGTTTTTCTTTCTCTTTTTTCATTTCCATTCGGTGCCAGTCAATAAAATTAAGTTTCCATTTACTTAGTTCAGATAAAACGTTTGTCTGAAAAACAAATATACTGACAATTAGTAGTTTGTTCCTTAATACCATTTCTTAAAACTAAAGTTAGGAAACATAAAAAAAAAAAAAAAAATCACAACATGCTAATGATACAAGTTCAACAGTCCTGGCTCTTTGCAGTTTACATTTACCACATCAAGGAATTTTTTTTCCCTTATTTTAAGTTATCTTGTAAGAAGTCTTGTCATTTAAAATTTTTTTCAGGCCTCATTCACTAAACTTCTTTGTTTATTCAAGGACTTTAAATGTCCATATTAAAATGGATCAGATAAAAAAGAAATTTAGGACTATCAGCTAGGCTGAGACTAATAACTGGGAAGTTAGTTAGATAGAGGTGGTAGTGGAAACTATGGGAGTTAAAGCTTTCTTCCCCAAACCATTTATCACAATGGTCACCTTATGACAAATTGCTAAGTTTTTTCTCCCTACCGGCATAAATAAAAGACCAAATAATCATTAAAAAATATAACCTGGATAACAAGTAAAGTTAACTTAACACAAAACAATTTGAATGTTGATTATATATTATTCCAATGGACTTAACACTATTATTAGAAATATGAAATCTGGGCTGTGGTTGTGGCTCAGTGGTAAAGCACTTGCCTAGCATATGTGATGCACTGGATTTGATTCTTAGCACCACATAAAAATATATAAATAAAATAAAGGTAATGTGTCTACCTACAACTAAAAAAATAAAAAGAAATATGAAACCTGTTTCAAGGGGATAAAAATGGTAGAAGCTATGCTAAAAGATTATTTCTAGAATAATCTATTTCTAGAATATATAATCCAAATATAGAGAAATATGAATGCTACAGAACTCCCATGACCATAATATTTTCCATGTATACAAATATTCAACTTAATTTTCCTAAACTATGTTTCAAAAAAAACTTTGCCATTTTTGCCATACTTAAAAAAAATTTTTTTAAAGATTTGCATTATGTATAGTAGTTGTTATAAGAGTGGCTAAAATGAATATATGTTGCTAAAAAAGAAATTTAGGACTATCGGCTATGTTGAGTCTAATGACAGGGAAGTTATTTAGATAGAGGTGGTAGTGGAAACTATGGGAGTTGAAGCTTTTGTTTTATGTAAAAGGAAATATTTCTATTAGCCATCTTTAAGATTTGTTTTATTTATTTTTTTGTTTATTATTTACTTACTTTTTGTGGTATTAGGGATTGAACCTGGATGGGCTGTACCACTGAGCTGTATCCCCAGACTATTTTATTTTATTTTGAGGCAGGGTCTTGCTAAATTGCCCAGGCTGGCCTTGAACTTGTGATCATGTTGCTCTAGACTCCTAGGTGACTGAAATTATAGGTGTGTGCCATTGTGCTTAGTTTGTTGTTGTTTTTGAGATAGGATCTGACTATGTTGCCCAGGCTGGTCATGAATTTTTGGGCTCAAGTGATCCTCCTGCCTCAGCTTCCCTGATAGCTGGGAATGACAGATGCTGGCCTCCATCAGTCGGAACTAGGATATGACAAAAGCTCAACAGGTGTCAGTCACACCAAAGCTAAGCCTTTCAAAACATCTGAGAAAGTCTATGGAACATATAGAATAGTACTAACAACTTTTAAAAACTGCCAAAGTTATGATTTCTAACCTAGTAGCATCAGCTGGGAGCTTAACAGAAATATATAATCTTGGGACTCTGTCCAAAGACCACTGATATGAAGCTACAGTTTAGCAGGATCCCCAGGTGGTTCAAATGTACATTAAAAACCAAGAAGCATAAACCTAAGATACTGTACTCATCTTCTCAGGAAACCAGAGAATTTTATTTTTTAAGATAAACTTTTAAAAGACAATAAATAATCAAGAGTAAAACTACAGGGGCTAGGGCTATGGCTCAGCTGTAGAGCGCTTGCCTAGCATGAGGCCCTGGGTTCGATCCTCAGCCCCACTCAAAAATAAATAAATAAAAATAGAGGTATTATATCTAGCTACAGAAAAAAAAAAAGAGTAAAACTACTGTACTATATATTGTAATTGAACAACTACCAATACCTTAAGATTTGAACTCCAAAGATCAAGTATATTTTCCATCCTCTGAAGGTTTTCATCAAAAACAAGACTATCACCCACAAATATTTCATGGGCATCTGTAAGAGCAGAATTAGACCTTGATGAGGAAGAGTCACCTAAAAGATGTGAACTGAAAAAATCCATGACTGGGTGAGAAGGCTTCCTTGGTGATGACATTGGTGATGATCCTAGAATAAATGAAAAATTGTAGTAGTTGAGCCAAATTAAAAACTTTGCCAAACTTTTAGGAAGTAATACTGAAAGGCTATAAGATGTCTGCTATCAATAAAAGAGAATAAAATCATGGCATTTGCAGGCAAATGGATGGAATTGGAAGGCAAATGGATGGAATTGGAGAATATAATGCTAAGTGAAGTAAGCCAATCCCCAAAATCCAAATGCCAAATGTTTTCTCTGAAATAAGGAGGCTGATTCATAGTGGGGTTGGGAGGGGGAGTGGAGCATGGGAGGATTAGATAAACTCTAGATAGAGCAGAGGGGTTGGAAGGGTAAGAGGGGGGCATGCAGGTAGGAAAGATCCTGGAATGAGATGGACATCATTACCCTAAGTATATATATGTATGAAGAGAATGAATGGTGTGAATATACTTTATATACAACCAGAGATATAAAAAATTGTGCTCTAAATGTGTAATATGATTTATAATGCATTCTGCTGTCATATATAACAAATTAATTTAGAGTAAAAAAAAGTTGTTTGCTATCTATGGAGGCGGAGAGAAATTATCTTTCAGGTATATACCTTAATCTGGCTATTTTAAATTTCAGTATTATCATTGATTTAGGATTAACCTGCATGAAATGCCTCCTACATTCCCCTCAGCCCAACAAATGACCCCTATCCCAAATAAGGATGCTTTATATATCCTAATCCAGCCTGAATTGCAAGTATTATCATCCATATCATCACATTAACATGAATTAAGTACTAAGTTCCTATAATAAAAATGTTGAAAAGTCAACTCTTATAACACATGCTACCTTAATGTTACCCTAATAATACCTAAGAAGTTTTCTCATTATTTTAATGAGAAAACTAAAGCTCAGAAAGAATTAAATAATTGACCAATGTCAGAATGGTTCTATATAGGTCATTAATACTTTATTAATAACATAATTTATAGCATAGCATAATTATCACCATTGCATTAATTCTACTGCATCCTAATCTACTGCATTAAAATCTAAATGATTTTTTAAGTCATACTGGTATATTAAAAAAAAAAAAGCTTCACATAATGGTCATACTCTTCTTTTTGCACGAAAATTTGGTATAAAATCTGCAATGATTATGCATTGAAATATGATAACACTAGCATAGGTCTTAATATGGATAAGATTCAACAATATAAATAGAGAGGGGCTAATAATTTAATTTAATTTACCAGATACTCTGTTATAAGGCACTCTTTTAGCTTTTAACTTGCTGGGTGAGAAATACATACATCTATCTATACACATATACTTATATAAATAACTCCCATCCCTTGTCCTTATACAGGGAGGTGGGGAAGAGCCTGAGCCAGAAAAAGAACTCTTGCTATCTCTAAAAAGCACAAAACAAAATGAAATTAAACCTTTATTTCTCACCATGCACAAAACTCAACTCAAAGTGGATCAAGGACCTAGAATTAAACCAGAGACTTTGTGCCTAATGGAAGAAAAAGTAGGCCCAAATCTCTATCATGTTGGATTAGGCCCCAACTTCTTTAATAAGACTCCTATAGCACAAGAATTAAAACCAAGAATCAATAAATGGGATGGATTCAAACTAAAAATCTTCTTTTTCAGCAAAAGAAACAATCAGTGAGGTGAATAGAGAACCTACAGAATGGGAGCAAATTTTTACCACAAGCACATCAGATAGACCACTACATCTAGAATATATAAAGCACTCAAAAACCTAAAAAAAAAAATCAATAAATGGGCCAAGGAACTGAACAGACACTTCTCAGAAGAGGATATACAATCAATCAACAAATGTATGAAAAAATGTTCAACATCTCTAGCAATTACAGAAATGCAGATCAAAACTACTCTAAGATTTCACTTCATTCCAGTCAGATGGCAGCTAATCAAAAATACAAACAACAATAAGTGTTGGCAAGGATGTGAGAAAAAAGGCATACTCATACATTGTTGGTGGGACTCTAAATTGGTGCGAAAGCAGTAGGAGACTCATTGGAAAACTTGGAGTGGAATCACCATTTGACCCAGCTATCCCACTCCTTGGTTTATACCCAAAGGACTTAAAAAACAGCATACTATAGGGACACATCCATATCAATGTTTATAGCAGCACGATTCATAATAGCTAAATTGTGGAATCAACCCAGATGCCCTTCAGTAGATGAATGGATAGGGAAACTCTGGTATACATACACAATGGAATGCTACTCAGCATTAAAAGAGAATAAAATCACAGCATTTACAGGTAAATGGATTGAATTGGAGAATATCATGCTAAATGAAGTAAGTCAATCCCAAAAAACCAAAGGCCGAATATTTTCTCTGATATGTGGATGCTGATCCATAGTGGGGATGAGGCAAGGGGAGCATGGGAGGAATGGAGGAACTTTAGATAGGGCAAAGGGGAAAAAGGGGAAGGAGGGGGCATGAGGGTAGGAAAGACGGTGGAATGAGTTAGATATCAATACCCTAAGTACATGTATAAAGACATGAATGGTGTGACTCTACTTCCTATACAATCAGTGACTTGAAAAATTGTGCTCTATACGTGTAATATGAAATGAACTACATTCTGTCATTGTGTATAAAAAATTAGAGTAAATAAAAAAATTAAAAAAAAATATAAATGCAAGTAGACTATATGGGTCAAAATACACAAATTTAATGCAGACATTTCTTCTATGGTAAGAACACAGCTGACTGATACTGGCCAATGTATGAACATGTAATAACAAATCCCATCATTATGTGCAAGTATAATGTATCAATAAAAAATGTGGAAGAAAAAAAAAGCACAAAATAGAAAGTTTAATTTTTTGTCACACATTTATGTTTGGAATTAGAGACTATCACCATTTTTCATGTAGCTCACATTTGTTGTGAGTTCTAATAACCAGGATTGAAGGACTTTGCTCTCTTCCCTACTGAATGAATAGAAGACAAACCTACTAGGGCTGGGGTTGTGGCTCAGTAGTAGAGCGCTTGCCTAGTACGTGTGAAGCACTGGGTTTGATTCTCAGCACTACATAAAAATAAAGAAATAAAATTAAAGATATTGTGTCCATCTACAACAACAACAAACAGACAAACCTATTCTAGAACTTGCTGGAGTTCTGTAGATTTTTAATTGTTGAAAAAATATACATATCCTCTAAGAAACAGAATCATGTAACTTAAGAACTTGGAAGGCCTGTCCAAGATTATACTGCCAAAGACTTATTACAAGTAAGGAAACTAAAGGGCAGAGACATTTTTAAAATGGTGGCTTAAATGGTTTCCACATAGAGTAACACTGAATCACATAATAAGGAAAGTATTCCATTTTTATTTTAAAAAATATTCTCAATCTGATTCTAGTATGCTTTTAAAACCTTAGTTTTCTCTAGCCTCATGTTTCAGAAAAACTGCCATTTTCTCTATTTTATTTAAAAAATTTTTTAGTTGTTGATAGACCTTTATTTTATTTATTTATATGTGTTGCTGAGAATCGAACCCAGTGCCTCATACATGCCAGGCAAGTGTGCTTATTGCTGGGCCCTAGCCCCAGCCCACTCCATTTAATTTTAAATATCAAAAACCTTGCCATTCTGCAATACTTTGTTTTGCCTAGAGACCATTAACATTGCTAATCTCTCCTTTCAAACCCCCCCCCCCCTGATTTTAGGCCCAGCACATCACCACCCAACAATGTTGTAATAAAACTTAATACTTTGTTTTCAATATGTTTATTTTTACCATTACATTCATATTTTAACAAATGCATATTAACTTTATATTCAATAATAACTGAAACAAAGTTTCTTTTTAAAATGAAATGAATTTAAGCTAAAAAGTGAACATATATTAAAAAAAAAACAATAAATTAGAGAACAGATGGTATAAACATATGACAGAAGCCATTACATTGATACAGATATGCCTGAAAGTTGGGAAATAGTGCACTATAGTTTACAAAAGATTTAAGTTAGTCAAGCTGTCTAACATCCCATTAAATCTTTAAAACTGGAGCTGGAGTTGTGGCTCAGTGATAGAGCGCTTGTCTAGCATGTGTGAGGCCCTGGGTTTGATCCTCAGCACCATATTTTATATAAGTAAATAAAACAAAAGATCCATTGACAACTAAAAAATATATATAAAAAAATCTTGGGGCTGGGATGTAGCTCAGTGGCAAAGCATCTGCCTTGCATTTGCGAAGCCCTGGGTTCGACCCCCAGTTCCAAAAAA